AATACTAAAATGGGACAGGTTTGTGTATTCATATACGAGAGGGAAAAAATGAATTGAATTTCATCCTGAGCTGCAGGTAGGTCATGCCACTCACAGCACTAGACTTCATAATACTTTCATCACCCCCACTCCCCTATCCCCTCCCTCCACTATTACGAATAAACCCAGGGCACCCAAGTGTCCATGTATGAATATAAACAGCCAACCAAAATAACACTGCATCTGGTTCCTAGAAGTAAATGTCCATACATTTCCAAAATGCATTATTTTTTTCTGTGCTAGACCAACGTCAGAAAAGCAAAGGCTGACTCCACTATAGCTCACTGAAAATTACATCTATCTGTTCTTTCTTCATACGAAGACCAATAAAATCCGAAACATCTGTCAAAAAACAAAACACACACACAAAAAACTGTACATAATGCTGTACATTCTGGATTTAGGGTAAAACTAAATTACATTCTTTAGAGGATACTACTAAATCATACTAAAACAATAAGTTCAGCATAATTAAGTTTTTTTAGTGAAAAATAAAAAGAAGAAATTTTGCTTACAAAAAGATGGAGGAAAAATAAAATGATAAAAAAACTGAGTATTATTAACAATTTCCAAGAGATCAACCAATGAAAATTAGGAATTCAAAAATAGATGTGCAAGAAAACTAGCAAGTGTGTCTAATTACCCTGGATGACTATGCACAGTCTAATGTTCCACAAGGGTTTAGCAAAGAACGAAACAGCGATTTGACAGATCAAGAAAAACTCTATGGGATTGCTGTAGAGACACTTTTATGCCACACTAAAACAACAAACACAAGGAGTATGAGGAATAATTGAAGGATATCATTGTGGCAGACGAGACCAAATTAGAAGTCTGAAACAATTAATATGTTGCTTTAATTTGAAAAAAGACAACAAAAAATAATATTAGAGTCTTAAACAGAAAAAAACAGGTGAAGATCTTACATTTATTTGGTTTTGGTGATATCTCCAACAGATCATCTACTTTTAGGAGTGACCTGCTACCAAACTTGTCACAGCAAGCACTGTTTGGCTAACTGGGGTTGATAAGCTTTCTGCAGGTCACTAAGCAGGTTAGAGGTTAAATGTGCTGCACTTCCATAGGACACAATTATTAACGGTCCTTAGGTGAAAGCAGCTGAGGGTTGTCCTAAAAACGAATAAAGGATATGGGAGTCATCCCAGTGTTTCTGCCAACGCTTAAATGAGAATATATGAGAAATGCATGAATTAACAAGCCTGCATTTAAGGTAATTAGGCTCAAAATGCTATTAAATTGTTTATAAAGTTTTCATTTATTCTCAGCTTTACAGCTACTGTTGAGTATAAATGGTACGGGATAATCTTGCAATGCAATACCGTGGCTTTTCATGCATGTAAATGCCTCTATGAAAATATTAGAGTAGGCTGTTTTTCCAAATCAATAGTATAAAACCAATTACATTTCCACTAAGCCACAGAAGGTGCTCAAACACTCTATAATCAAATAGTCACAATAACAGCTGCTGAAGTGCTGATAAAGCTGTGCTGTGTACATCCTTCATAGCCCTGGGCATATGCTGCTCTATCCACAGTGGTTGCCAGCGTTGAGAGAGAAAATTAGCCTCACATCTGACTGCGATAACAGCCTCTAATGATCGTGAGGGACTCTGCTAAAAAATTTTTTGGTTATCTCCCAAAAGCAAATTTTGTTTTACATGATGTGACGTGATGTGGATTGGGATGTAATACAAATCAGAAGCCACAAGTTGAGGAGAGGAGTAGGTTTTAAGACTTTGGGTAAGGGTTAGAGAAGTATTGCTGGACTGAGTGAGTTTGGGAACCCTTCAGGTCCACTTTGCATTGTCAAATTTCTGAAATCTAAAAAAATTAGAAGTTAAAATCTTAGTTCAGTTAAAAAGTAAAAAGTAAAACAACAAAAAAAGATCAGAAACACATGACACACAAGAGGCCTAGAGAATATCCTTTGACCACTTTTACAAAACAAATGATAAAAATGCATTCAATTAAAATGTAGAGTTACATATATATGCTACTCTTTATCAGCATCTAAAATCCATTTTGTAATACTATAAACAGTATTGATGAGTCACTACTTCCAATTAAGAGGTGTGTGATAGAGGAGGCTGTGCTGTGGTAGCAGTGTCCAAATTGATACATGGAGCACATTAGCTGGGCTTTTAGTGCAGAGTCTACGTGAGAAATTAGTGCATTTTGCATGGAATAAATGAGGGAGAAACTACTTTTGATACAGTGTTATTGATTTTGAAGGTGGCACCTCTGCGGCTACAGGGTTTTGCACAGCCCACTTTATTATCTTAATGTAGTATCAGTGCCACACCCATTTACTTACCTTGAGAATGTAGAAAAGTCCCCTGACAAAAAATTACGTGAAAATGAAAAGCCATTAAAATTCCCTACAAACCCTTCATTGCCATGACACTAGCAACTTGGCATCCCTCTTAATTAAAGGTTGTACTGCATGACCCACAGGGCGGCCAGTGGAGGGGTTGACCCTGAGCCCAGTGGTCTTCAAACAGAGTCAGGCTTAGAGCCTTTTCCTATTTCTTTATTGGTGTTATTATTAAAGCAGAGAGCAGACGGCTCCTATGGTTCTGTTAGAATATTATCTGATCAACTCTACACCTGTGGGAGACTGTGTACTAGATGCACAAAATCCTGATGGCAGATGGTGGAGAACTAAATAAAGATGGAGCTAAGAATTTAATAATTGTGTCTTGTAGCAGATTTCATTGGTGAGATGCATGAATTATTTCACCTCCTTCATGTCCTTTCATCTAAGGGAGTGGGAATTGCCAAAGTAAAAGGATAAAAACCACTTAGGTTACCATTTTCCACATATCCTGACAAATGTGAATCAATAATTCGATTTAGACGAGTTACTAACAGGGTCTATCAGATAGGAGTGGGTTGTTTGCAATACACGCCGATCACTGGGCCATAACTCCTGGGAAATCAGGCGATTTACTGACAGCAGCCACTAGAGGCTCTGGAGGTAAAGGGACAGAAATTCTTTGAAAACACTGTGGTTTGTGTGTTTGTAGAGATTTTACGGACAATCAATCAGTAGAACACTTTAGAAAAATCGCCACAATCTGTCATCGTTGGTCAGAGCACATACGCAACTATAATGAGTCCAAGTTTAGAGCGAGCGAGAGAGAGAGAGAGAGAGAGAGAGAGAGAGAGAGTGCTGCGATCACAGCCAAGGCATGGCTCATGACATTCTAATTAGAGAATTTGCTGCTCTAGTTTAGCAATGATGGAGTGGAGCTTTTTATCAGACAGGCCAGGCCACTTACCTGGCAAGCTGTGACACCACAGAGAGAGCCAGCCCACATCCCTCCACTGCTGTCCACAAGCTAAATAAATGACTCACCGGATGTTCTGCTCAATACCAGCCAATGATGATGACTGACCAAAATTTGACATAAATAGCAAAGATTAATATTTACAGCATTATAAAAAAAATTACTTGTCTTCATAATTATTTAGCAGCCAAACGAGATTGACATTAAAGGTGAAAGCAGATGTGCAGATGGAAAAATTTCCGAAATATTAAGAATATAAATTGTTTCAGTGAGATTGACTGGTGCCACCACATCTTTACACATAAACAAAGCAATTAAGATTCTTCTCCAAAGCCAAAAATATGTGTAATGGTTCTAACCTTCTATTAGAGTAATGATGATGTTTATTGTTTGGGTTAAATTATTAATTTAATTTGTGGCTGATTTTGCAGATAATGTTGATTCTGCTGATTCTTGAAATTAGCTGTTCACTGCGAGAAGGAGTGGGGTTGAAGTGGGTGGGTCGACAGTAGTCCTACTTACAAAGATGGCCGCAAAAAAAGTTTTAAAAAGTGGTCTATTCGTGGTTTTAAAACGTTTTAAACACCGACGCTGAATCGATAAAGTACAATATTTCTTCTGAGCTTGTCAGTTTGGCTCTTTTGCATTTATTTGTTTGAATTCACCGCGACTGCAGACACCGTTTACAACCCCATGTGTGTAATTGTGTCTGATTGGTTAAATATTTTAAAAGCTCAGTTGTACTGATTTGGTACACATCATTTGTTTACCTTTTTTCAGAGCTAGATTAGAGTAAAGGGCATATGTAAACTCCTCAAAACCGTTTTCCATTAAAACCTTTTTAAAAACTTTCTTCTGGAGTAGTTTGCACTCATTTGCTCACAAGTGCCTTAAGTCAGATACTCTACGTCCAACTTAAGGGCCATAAGCTGAATGTGGCCAACCAACACTTATCATTCATGTGTTTAACTTAAAGTAAATGTGTATTTTAAAGAGCCTAAATTTATTGCTCTGAATCTGTAAAATGCAATGGCCAAATTCTCTGCAGGGCAAGTAATTCACAATTATTCGTTCCTTGAATTACAAATCTCCCATAATGTAGATTTTATTTTGTATTAACCATGTTTGTCCCACAGCTTTAAATGTGTTTCCGTCAACAGTCGTCTGACTCATGAAAAAGAACCAACTGGAAAGCATTTCTTATCACATATATTCACTTCTCCACATATCCACTCCTGGACACTACAAACAGCAAGGTGTCCGTTTCTCCAGGCCTGTGATAAATCAATTAACCAGTTCTACTCTACCTGTCACCACTCCAACTTCCTACAGAGCCAAAGAACTGGGTCTGTAGCCTCAGGGCAGACTGTTATCTTTGCATGTTTTAACAACAGAATTAATGTCCGTGGGTTGCATCAACTTGGTCATTCAAGCCTTTTCCACTATCACACCTGGGTAGCTTCAACATACCCGATATATTTTTGACCCTGTCTAACCCAGTAGTTAATCAAATGTCACTGAGCTACATTAATAAAACAGAAACAAAAAAAAAAGTAAATGCACCTCCATTTTAGCACCAAACCGTCAGGCTCAGCAGTACAAATACAACAAAAAGTATTTGAGCATACAAACAAACACTCATCCTGCTCACCCAACAGTGCAGACATGTTCTGGAAAATTCTCAGTAGCTCTGGCGTGACCGCTGGGCTGTTTTCCAAAGTCACTAACCTGTATGACAGGAATGCACAAGTGGAAAAAAGACAGATTTTAAAGCTGGGACAAATTTAAAAATAAAATTTGAGGGAGTAGGAAGTCAGAGCATCAGAAAATGATGGGAAAAAACAAACATCCTCAACACAGGATGAAATTCAGAGAAAAGGCAAAAGAGAAAATCACTAACATTAATGTTAAGTTTGTAAAGATACAATTAGGAAAAGAAAAGATTCACATAGTCACATTTTCAAGTTTTTGATCAGTGAAAGTATCATTAACAATACATTCACATAAAAGTGACAATAATTCAATTAGTCTATTATTTTCATTTTTTACACCTAAAAAACACTGCTGTTCTTCAACTTGATGTATTTTTCTACTCAGACAAGAAAATACAGCCACTGGCAAAATACAGACACAGACAGCAGACAACCAGCTGATAAAAATAAAAGAGGAAGACATTGGCTTTAAAAGAAAGCAAATATTTAGGACACGGCTGTTTATCAGATTGGCTGAAAGACTGCATAGAGATACGATTGTGGTTTTGTGCTACAGGCACACACTGCATGCTGAAAAGTGCACCTCTCCACAGGGGCAAACACAAGAATAGATTAAGAGTAGAGGTTAAAAAAAGGGCAGAAAGCTGATCCCAGAGGACATTGAACACACAGTAGACAGGTCACATGTCCACATCAAATGACCATCCACACTAACATTCATACCTGTGGTTAATTAGGTTGTATCTGATTTTAAATGTATGTTTTTGAACTGTGGGTAGAAAAACAGAAAGATATCTGTTGCTAAAAGATTTATATAATTGTGAACCAGGTCTTCATGGTTGTTCCTCTATATTATATTTATATAGCTTTCTATGTATTCTATTTTGTGTGCCTACAACACTGATGCACTATTGTGCACGAGTCCATACCAAAGTTCCAGTCCGTCCTCCAGCAAATAGACATGTGGTGGCTGTGAGACATCAGTGCTCAGCTGGATGACAGGCAGAAGGAATGGGTACAGGTTTTTACTCTCTGCCCCCAGGCCCTGTAACAACACAGAGAATCACAAACTCAGAGCCAATCCTGAGAAAACCTGCCCAAAAAAAAATGTATACAAAGAAATGACAACTGTATTAAATGGGACAAAAAGTAAAAGCAAACACACCTGTCACAAACACAAAAATAAAGTTTGATGAGGTGATCATACTCAAGATGACCTTACATCAATGAAATAACTAAAATTAAAAACATCACAAATATAAATGCAATTTAAAAGTAGGCAATATACAGGTGATGAACAGATGATCTATGGTGATCATACCCGCCAACGACCATGCCAAAGAAAATAGATGGTAAAAGTCTTTACAGAGAAGGATATATAACATTAATTGCATGGTCCACAGTGGGAATGCATTTACTTTAACACGATTGGGGGAAGTTCAAAGTGTAAGTATCCACTTTCTGGCAACAGACCCTGACAACGACATCTTAAAAGTACATCTAAGAGCTGGTCATAAAACAGACTGTTCATAGAGTATCGCTTAATTGTCATATTTCTTGTACAATTTACAGGAAGGCTTGTCGTTGAGGCAAATGTGCCACACCTTCATATACACAGTTCTGAATTTGCTGTCAATCATCATGAAGCTCACCAACTTCTCGGCCTTTAGCTCCTGTGGTAACGGCTTAGGAGAATTTCTTCTTCATTAGCATAATACAATTCTGTTTGAAAATGCAAAGCATACAGATGATGTAAAAATTTGTCAGTGCAGGACGGTAGCCTTCATCATGCTGGACTCTAGGCCTCCCGGGGGTTTTCCTTGTTTCTTTTTTTAAAGTCATCTGGAATTTAAACTGAACCTCTACAACTGATCTGAATATCTAAAAGGATAAGTCCATAATTCCAATTAACCTTGCAGTCTTACTCAGGACAAAGATATACCGGTAATGCTACTCTTCTCTGGCATAACAGCTTAACTATTACTTTTTTTTTATTTAGAATCTTATGCTAACCCTGTTTACCCTTGTTTTTATGATTCCTTCTAAAACTCTCTTTCCTCTTGTGACATCACATCCATCTTCTTCACACATCACCTCAATCTCCATCTTAACTGTCAATAAAAACTGTTTGACATCGTGCATCCAGGTTTCCTTCAGCTTTGGTCACAGAAATTTAAGTGAATAATGGAGACAGCATGTAGATTCTACGGGAACTTGTCTAGCTAACGGCAAAAACGACAAAAAGTGTGCACGACAACCGTCATTTTGTCAAGGGGTGACAATAACAAAGTGAAGATATTTCCTTGTTGTATCTTATGCAATCTTATTCTTTATCCATATCAGGCAACAAGGACTGAGTTCTGGATACTGCATTTGTTATTTTTGACAATTCTGCTAAATAATAGGATACTTTAAAAGGAAACATTTATTGGTGCATCCAACTTTTCTAACCCAGTGTAAAAGAAGATATCAGAAAAAGTATCAGAGGATATTAAAAAAATACTCAGTTGCTAATTTAGAAGAACCTCCTGAGGCAGAGAGAAATGCTTGCAAATACATTTAATGAGTTCTAAATAAATCTACTGCTTAAATTTGCTACTCTGCAGACAACAGCTTTAACAGCAGTGTCTTCTTTCCCCTTTCTCAGAGAACTGGACCGGAAGATTTTGACCAATGTGTATTAGTTTTAGTTGTTATATACAAAGATATATACAGGGGGTTAGACAATGAAACTGAAACACCTGGTGACCTAAGGTTTGGCAATAGCAGCCCGGCCATGTATACTGACCCTGCAGAGCTCCCACAGTTTTGGTGGAAACAGGAGAGTTGAGGTTCACATTTAATTCTATGACGCTATGGTTTTATGGTTTTTGGATACAATCCAGGTTAGCACCTGGACTTCCCTTTCAGACAGCTTCCTCCTGCGTCCACAGTTACTCCTGTTAGATGTGGTTCGTCCTTCTTGGCAATATGCTGAAATTACCCTGGATACCGTGGCTTTTGATACATCACAAAGACTCACTCTTGGTCACAGATGCCCCAGCAAGATGTGCAAAAACTATTTTGAACTCTGATATGTCTCCCATAATGTTGTGTGCATTGCAATATTTTAAGCAAAACTGTGCTATTACTCTGCTAAATGAACCTTCACACCCTGCTCTTACTGGTGCAATGTGCATTCAATGAAAACTTGCCACCAGGCTGGTCAAGTTTAGCCATGAAACCTCTAACACAAAATTGGCTAGTGTTTTAGTTTCATTGTCCAACCCCATATATCTATCTATCTATCTATCTATATCTATATATATAAATAATTGAATGTATATATATATAATTGAATATCTCTCTTTCTCTCTCTCTCTCTCTCTCTCTCTCTCATCAGCATTATATCAGATAGTATATATTAAAATCTCAATTAGTATAGAGCTGCACACTTGAATAATCCAGACCCCTTTAGCGGTACACCCCCCCATGTATTTTGCAGCTCTCCATATGTGCACCAGCGTTAACATTCTCACAGGGACTGTATCTATCACCAAGTGTTCCACCCCCTGCTGTGAGCTAATGCACCAGTAGCCACACGGGGGTCCCAGTCCTGCTGCTGACTGCCTCTATGCTCTGAGTAATAAAGTGTCTGTTTCTGACTATTTTCTTGATTTCAGTCAATGATAAACTCTGACTGAAAATGAAGCAAGGGTTTGAGGAAATATTAAAACAACCCATCCTATTAAAAACAACAAAGTCTAGGGTTGTGTCTCCTAAACAAGGGATTCTGAGAATAACAAAGTAGTTACATGCAAGATAAATGAATTCCACAGGTGGCATTGTGGGAAAAGGTATTTAAAACTCAGGGCCTCCTGGTGAAGACTTGAAGAATTGAGCAACACTTTTACTTGGTAGCATTTGTGAACATGCAGTGTGTCTCCCTAAACCAAGGCGACCTTAAAAAAGTTCTATACAAGTAGCTATTAAAGTCCAAGAGTCATTATTAGGTACATTCTTCATAACATTAATAACAAAACACATTTTCTACTATATTGTTGACTTTGGTGTGTGCTCAGCAGGCACATCCAAATGTAAGCTTAAAAATTGTTTGCTTTACAACAAACAAACAATTTTGTATAATTTTGTAAGTATAGCGGCCCATTCAGTAAATCTAAACATTGTGAGTCTGATTGGGTTGAAACCTGAATTATGAAATCTTAAATCCATCAAAACACTCAACCAGGAAAATGAAAAACAAAATTTCATAAACCCACACAGTTTAAAAAAATGCACAATACCTGTACTAGGTGAATTAGGGTGGTTAATATGGCACATCGGAGCATGTTGTGTTCTTCAGACTGTTTCCATAACAAAGGGAGATACTGAACCAGACAGCCTACATATGGTCGGATCTGGAACAGATGGAAATAAAACAGCATACACGTGTAAGGTGATGGATGTTCACGGAACATTCCAGCAACACACATTAGCATGTTCTTGCTGTGTCTGCTGAATGATGCAGTGAGCAAATATGTGCATTACATTGCCCTGTTAAGGAGCTGACAAGTGGCTCAGTAAACAGTTTCCCTTTCAGTACTCTCCTGTGGATTATATGCAATCAATGGCAGTGGATTTGTTGACACCTTCACTGGGAGCTGAGGAAATGTCTTCATATATATATAATATATATATTATCCCTGCAGTCAATCTTGTGTGTTAAAATCCCTTTTCAGAAGGATCTGATTATTAATAGGACATTTTTAGACACTAAAACTTGCAGTGTCTAGTAATGGCTTTAGCAGACAGAGGGCTCACAAGGATAAAAGGACATTCTTTGAACAGTTTAAGGAAAGAGAGAGAGATGCTTAAAGGGTACAGTTCATAAGGAAGGTCACTTTTATGGGACAAATGGTAAAGTGGATTAGAAAGACTCAGGCTCCTGGAAAAAAAAATCTCTATACCCACCATGGGGACAGAGAGGAGACTGTATCAACATAGTAAATGGGAGCATGAATCAGAACAAAAGCTGCCTGAGGCCCCATGATTTATAAAGTGTCAAGAATTGGATTTAAAAAATGCTACTGTCTCAGGATGTGACAAATCATTAGAGCTTATCTTTTTGGACAATTGACTGTGTTACCTTGGCTTTCCTATCATCTGAGACTAGTGCAGGGTGACAGATGTTCTGTACCAGACGTGTGATGGTTTTAATAGTTCCAGTCAAGTCCCCAGCAGACTTAAGGTCAATGACTAACATTTGTGCAAAACTATTATTCACCAAAACCAAAGTCAAATTTATCTTAAGAGCTGCCAAACACAAGGTCTGTTTCAATGATATTTTGGAGTTGCACTCAGTTTTTTTTTCTGACCCTGACAATGTAATGACAAAAGTTAAAGGTGAAAAATATCCTAACTCTGCTATGCTTTCTTAAAACTCACCTGGTTGTTAACTCTTTCAATGACACAGGAGATGACATGCAGCACCTGCATTTTAGTGTCACATTCAGTCACCTGCTGCAACAACTGGAAAAGCAGCCCAAAGATTGATTCAAGGTACTGGGGAAAGAAAGACAGTAGAGATTGAAATAAACAATGTGGACAAAAATACTGTACAATATTATTATACGAAATATAAATATCCTCTAAAGCATTTACTTTAAACAAATTTAATATATTTACTCACAGGCAGAAACTGCTCTGTCCGAAACTCAAAGTCGTCCACAGGTGGGAAATGAGTTAAAGGACTGACACGGTTGACATTAATGAACTCATCATCTCACTCCCTTCTGCAGAGCTAAGTATTGCTAAAGCTTTATGTCAACATACATCGGACAAAAACTTATACTGCCTATAGTTGTCGATAGGCATCCAGGCTGGACAGTGGAGAACTGAAAGAACTGTAACCCTACCAAAAAAAAGTCCTACTGAAATAGCCTAATCTGTTCAGAGTAGCTCAGCAAAATCTATTTACTGTCGCTGTGCCCTTTCTTGCCCGTGGCTTGCTGCCGGACACCTGGCAGCACTTCTTTATATGGCTAAGCCACATTTGTTATGAAGTTTGGGCTTAAACTTTCTGTCCTAATCACGAACTTGTGGCTTATGTCAGCAACATTCTCATCTTCTGACAGGGGGGTTGGGCCACTTTGTAGAGCTGTAACCTGGGATCTGTCTAAACCATCTGTTCATTGACTGCAGAGCTTTTTAATTTGCAGTAAATTATGTGATAGGTGGGTGTGAGACACTGTGACAGTGATTATGTTGGCGGAGTGTTCCACAATCTGACTTTCTACTAGGACGGCATCAATTTTAGTTCAATAGCTAATTCTGTAAATTGAAGCATTGCATTGCTACTGTAGATGACACCGAGTAGTTTTGGGAGTAAAACTACATGCACACAATCTTTACAAGATATTTCATACTAACAAAGTACTGAAAGGATATTGAGCTTCAGGGTTGTAGCCGTCTCAATACGGACCTGTAAGAGAATAAGATACATGTTAAAAAATATGTTTAGAAATGACTAATTGTCAAACTGGTTCACCTCCTACTGGTGAACTCAGAATAAGGGATGGTTCTCAATAACAACATCAAACTAGACTTTGAAAAGAATGTGAGTGATGGAGACAATGGAATACATTACCATAAGAATATCATAGCTGAAGAGGATGCTTTGACAGTGAACACAAGAACCATAATTTGTCTGTCTTTAAACTGAGAGGCCGAAACAAAGTACAATGAAAGATCTGTATAACTAAACACTGTGAAAGTGTGTGCCCACAGCAAGTTCTTTAAATACAGGCTGCCATTGTTATAAAAAGGATCATCCCCTGCAATCTTGGACTCCAGCTGTGTAATCTGGAAGTGCCAGGGTTTCAGAAGTGAAAACATCCACCATGGAGAAATTAGTCGGTTAAAAGAAATAGAAGATTTTATGTTTGAAAGGCAAGTAAAAAAGTGGTGGTTTGTCTGTTTGATGTGGAAAATCAAATGCAATATATATGTACCTCTTTAAACAGCTATATTTTTTATTAAAAACATTTTCCCTATGAAGAATGACATCCACTATGTGTAAAAACAAACGTGATTTACTTTGTGATTATACTTTAAACGATTAAAGGGTACCTGTGGTTCAATCATGATAAATCTTAAGTATTCATTGTAGTTGGTCAATATAAATCCCGAGCAACATAAATAAGACAAATTTCTATTCAAAGGGATGGAATTATTCATATGGATGAAATATCTTTCACCTCAGGTCAAAAACTGCTTCTTTGCCTTATCAAGGGACTGAAATCAAGGTCCTTCTCCAAAGTTGTTACATTTTTGGAAAAAAGTAATACATCTTTTGCAAACATTATTTTAGAGATAAAGTAAATGTGGTAAAATAAAATGTAACACAACAAAAAGTTGTACAGATAAACGCTGGAGACACCTGAAAGACTTGTCTGAGCATGTTCTGGTTATTGCAATCAGACCTGCTTTGAAATGTTAAAATCTGTCTTAAAAACTTGCCTTTTACCATGCTTAAAAGGCTATGTAAATAAGATGCACTCTTTTGAACTGTTCAAAACAAAGAATAAACTGCTCCAGTCAGTCCTGCAGAAAATAGACAGCTAATCTGCATGTTCTAGCTTTAAATAAAAATACTCTTTTACCTTCTGTGACAGCCTATCAAATAGTTTGGAAACACTTAACTTTGAACAGTCTTGCGACTACAGTAACACATGTTTGAAAACAAGAGGCAGTGATTCTCCCTCAACACTTCAAAGCCTTTGGATGAATAACTGTTTACTGCAGCAGTACATGTTTTTGCACACCTCAATATAAATAGAAAAGGGCCATCACTGACTGACGGAAGAGATTATGTACTCTCTACTTCCAAGAGTCAAGTTTCAGATTTATTCAGTGGGATTTATGGAAATTTCCATCCTTTGACCTTCAAGACCATAAAATGACAGAATAATCATATACTAACAAGTGCCAAAAAAAAAAGAAAAAAAGAAACGTGTTGATGAGCAAGTCTCATCAATTATCATCAAACAGTCCTTGTTAGAAAATCAAGCGACTGGGAGCGACTGAATTTGAATTCAACCGCAAAGTGTAGGAAATAACAGAGGCTTGATGAAACACTCGATATCTCTGATTCGTACAAAACCTCTGCTTCATGTTATTATTCGGCTTCAAACTGTCTTTGAGCAACACTAGACAGAGGTTAAGAATGGGTTCTGAGTGAGCTTCGCTTACCACCCAAATGAGCAAATCCACTAGAAAATGCATGTTAATTATAGTGCAGTTAGATGAATGTAAATTATCTGGTCCAAGTTTCTGATGTTGGTTATTGGTTTATATCCATGGAAAGCTTTGTTGCAGATCAATCACTAATGTAATGGTAAGATATCCTAATGTAGGAGTGTCAAACTCATTTTCACTGGGGGCCACATCAGCAATACAGTTCCCCTTGAAGGGCTGGTTGTAAATGAAAGACTGTATAGCTCAGGGGTCCCCAACCCCTGGTTCGCAGACCAGTACCAGTCCATAGGTCACTTGGTACCGGGCCGCAAAAAAATGTACTTAATTTTTACTAATTTACTTAATTCAAAGAAAATCCAGTCATATCCATTTACTTTCTTTAGTTAAAGAAAATCTGGCAATGTTTCAAAATAATAGGTCATTCAGACTCTGATACAAACAAAAAGATGTTTTATTTTGAAATTTTAATGATTCTTCGATGCTTAGCATCTTGCTTCCAGTACGTAGTAACGGGTGGTACTGGCTGACCAGTCCTTGGAACATAAAAGGTTGGGAACCAGCGGTATAGATGTAACTACTCCATAACAGATTAATACATGTTTCTGCCATTGATTACTATTTATTCAAGCTAAAAGTATTGTTCATCGCTGTGTAATAAAAAAACTTTTAATTTCTTACAAAACCGCATTTGACCCCCAGGTCTTGAGTTTGACACATATGTCCTAATGTAATATCGCAATGTAGTGAACTGCACTCTCTGTGAGCAGTTGACTTGTGTTGACTGTAGGAACTAAGGCTCTGCATCCCGAGGTGTTGAGCATAAATTTGCCTTATAACTGATGTGTCTATGCTGAGTTTAACCACTCCATGTCCATGTGAATGGACATACAGTATATAACACTGACCTGTTGCAGAGGCTTTAAATTGTCAGATAGTTGGGGGCAGAGAAACACGTTGTCATTTTATTTCATTTCTTTTTTGTAGTCTTTTTTAAAGTTGAACTGAACAAATTATTCATTATGAGGATAAATTATTGTCATTCGCTGCTGCTGGTACTTCTGATGTTCCATTTCGTGCATTGTTTGTTTTTTGGTGTCTATTTAAAGTATTATGCCTCACAGTTTGAAATTTAATTATGTGTAAATAAAATAACAACAACAAAGCATTCTTGTTAAAATCAATGTGTCAAAAATGCAAATATGCAGTCATTTAGGCAGCAGCTAAAATATTACAGAAAGAAAGTAACAAAAGAAAAATAAATGAATGGTGCTGATGTTTATAAATTAGCCCATGTCATCTGCAGTTCAAGGCAGTAATCATTGCAGGAGATAAAATACTAAAGAAAACTATTGTGGTTTGGACCAACAAATGTATTTTTTTGGAAAAATCATAATAACCCACTCGGTGTTGCTGTGTTGCCGTTTTCAATATCCAAGTGTAATCCTCAGCTCCAGTTATAATTTGTAGATCAAAACCAACCTGACTAAGGAGAGCATTTTCTCTCAGGGAACTAACCAGAAGCCTGGTAGGCTTATAATAACGAGCAACAAATCCATATTTAAAAGAGTCTCAGATCGTGGACGTAGCTGTAGGAAAGTGAGATGAAACAGGACAAACTGATGACTTAATCATCAGAGCTTGATGTCATCAAAGCTGGCTCAACAGCAAAGTCTAGAAAACATCATTACCTGCTGGTAGGGAAGAAAACAGCCCAAACTGGGGTAGAATTTAAAATCTGCCACTGAGATTACTTTTAGGCCCTTATAAGACCCTGTGAGTAAACACTGGAGGGAAATTGAGCTATTGGAAAGCAGAGAAGGAAATGGAGGCAATAACGACAGAATTATTGGCACGGCACTGGGCTTTAAATATGCTGCTATAGGCATCTGTGACGTGCAATTCATCCCAACAGTCCTTTAAACAGTCTGTGCTGGAGACAATGTATTTTTTCGAGTATACAACACTCCTGAAGTGCAATGGTGAAGTCATTTAGGACTCTCTTCACCGCTCGTGTGTTGTCATTTAAAAAAAAAATAACGCACAGAAGCAGAGATGCTGAATCTGATTAAGAACATCGCACAGGAACAAATCAAGTATTTTTGATGTAAATTACCAAAATATCAGAAGTATCAGATAAAGGTAAAAATGGCTCAGAGAAATTCAGTTCTTAGACATACAACAGTACTAAAACTGAGCTGCAGGGTTTTTTTCCTCATTAAGATCAATATTTCTCTTTGCCCAGGAGGCTCTAATTAAAACTGAAAATATTAATGATACTAAACACTAAAGAAAATAAATGGTGAACTTTTAAACCCATTAAGTAAATACAATTGTGTTTTTAGTAAATGGTGAAATATGATTCTTAAGTTCCTGTGATATTTCCACAGGTTCAAACTAACCTGTTCAAGTTTTTGGTAAACAATATAATCTGGCACTTTCATTTGAGGTGAATTTACTAAAAAATTAACCTAGAGCTACACTTTGTTGGCTACATTTTAATCATAATAATAAAGATTTAAAAACTAAACACCAGTCCGAGATGTGCCAAGACTGCTTTGGGCAAAATAAAAAAAGTGAAATAAATCCACAACTTCCAGTTCCACTGCCATTGTGTTCATTTGAATAAGGTTGAAGAGGTTAATTGGAATTGGAATGATTGAAGAGATCACTAGCAAACTGACATAAAAAAATGACCATGGGTATGTGTCTTTATATGGTTCTCCAATGCACCTGCAAACTCAACTTGGACTCATTATCCCAACCTACAGGTTATTTTAGATATTTTGGTGAAATCTGAATTTTCTTCAGTAAAACGTTTTGAATGCTATCAAGAATATCAAATGTTTTTTTTCCAACACTTGTCAATTTTCTGTTGGATACGTGCCAATCACTTACTAAATACTTAGGCTAAGAAAATCCTGCGTGTTGATTGGTGGATGGAGAGCCTTTACTTTTAGTAATCAATAAAAAAGTGTTCAACCTTAACTGCAGCACAGTATAATCCAGAAGTAGAGCAAGAATTGTTATTGTGAACATGACTACTTCTCTACCCTTTATAACATTAGCCTGAGCAAAAGGTGTCACACTTGGGAATCCTTAACTCATTTAGGGAAGTGACAACCCTTGTTCATTCTTTTTTACCTTAACCATTTCCTTTAATGTCTTATTATCTTAGCCACACAGTGGCTTTAATTACATTACATGACACAGTGATCAAGGTAACTTTTATGCAAATAGGGAGCGCAAATGAATAAACATCTCAATGTTTGCCACTGAGGGATGGATTATTACATTAGACACCTATAAGATGTACACAAAATTAAATTTATAAGGTTACTTTGAAATCTTTCCTCAAATAATTTCTCAGCAAATCCAAACTCTGCATAAAATATGTTCATATCGGACTGAAGTACTTTGTACTAAGAGTTTGTTAGCGCTGTAAGCATCAGAGCAGCTGTCACTGTTTCACAGTATATGGGGATGTGCACCACACAGTACATTCAATGATGCAATTTACGAAACGCACAGTGGGAATAGAGTGTTATTTACATCTGAGACACATGACTCATCATTTTAAAAACATGGATTTTTATAGACATACCGTTACTATCATTACTGTCATTCTTATTTTATTCATTGTTAAAGGGCTTTATAAATAAAGTTTTGTTTGTAATGTGATTGATTTATGCTGAATTGTGATTTATGCAAAGCTATTATCTAATTAATAAGATGTGACATTTAAATAGTTTGACAGTGCTACTCAAAAGAAAATTAACATCTTAATTACCATATGCATAATTATGTGATAAGATAACCATTGTTAAATAAGATAACCATTATAATAGCCAAATAGGCCAAACTCTGTTTAACAATGCTGATATTTTTTACACAGTTTGACTATTTCATTTTTCTAACAAGTAAAACTTGCGTTTGTAGTCCATAAAAGTCTTACCACTAAATCAGGATCCTGCATGAGGCTCAATATGATCTCGTATAGCAAAGGTCGAAGGTCAGATTTGAACTTGACAGAGATCCACTGTCCTATTAGCCATATGACTCGTCGACGTATCAGCTTGTACCTGGGACGGAAAAGAAAAGTCATGAGTTGTGCAGAGAAAACTAACAGGATTTGTACGATTTGTAGGCAATCAATTCAGATAAGCTCGATATCAGTCGGTGTGATTTTATTTCCAGGCTGTGGCTTATGTCTAATAACTCAGCACATTATTAGCAGAATAGCACCAACAATCACTCTTCTTGCGGTTGACCTGTCATTTCATGTATCATCACCGTACAGAGGCGGAAGACGGCAGCATAATTTGTGCTTTAAGGGGAAAGGACCCCCCACCCCTGTGTAATTTTACTCTCCGTTATGCATTCCAAGATACTTTAAATCAACCCACACTTTTGCCATTCACATAACTGTTTGTTTAAGCATCTTATCAGGCAAGAGAGTGGCAGAAAGAGTGACACTAGAAACAGGGGCAAAATGATTGAACCGCGAACAAAAGCAACACACACACACAAAACATGACCCAAAGGAATAAAATACGATAAAAAAGACAAAGCGAAAGGAACAGAACAATTTACTGTTAGGGATGAATATTGTAAGAATGACTAAATAAACAAGTCACCAGCCTGAAGGTGCTGGATGATGAGAGACTTTTAATGATTCCACCAATAATAGATTGAATTAAAAAGCAGAAATGACCTGGGGATGAAAAAATAATAATTGCTACTAAAAACTGTGTGATCAGAATTTAAATGCACTCGACTGCCTTCACTGTGTGAATGTAGAGTTGTGTGTGTGTTTTTAACAACTCTATCAGGCAGGCAAACAGGCGTCCCTCGACACTTTGCCCTTGTTTGTGTCTGAGGCAGAAATTGTGTCTGAGGAGTGGCAGCGGTGAAAAGAGCAGATGGAGGGATGAGAGATGGGGGACGAAACTCTTGTTGACTTGTTGTTAAATATCCACAGGGAGCCAGAGACCAAAGTCTGGACAACCAGGCAGAAGATACTAAAAAGCATGACACACAATGTGCAGGTGGCAAATGACTGATCTAAGGAATGTGTTGGAGGACATTATGCAGAAAGTTTGATCTTGTGAGGACATTCAGGTCTTTTAGAGGTTAAAAGTTAGGATTGGGAAAAGTGTAAGATTAGGATCTATATAACAGATCCCACTTAACCCAATGTTTCAGACTGTAGATTATCAAAACAAAAAACAAAAAAAAAAACAAAAGTGGCCAGTCCATGGACTGCTTTACACAGGATTTTAGGTTCATAAGACCTGGTTAAGTTGCAGTTGTGCACTAATCATTAAATGACATGGTAAAACAGGTGAGAGAAACAAAGAACAGAAATTCTAAAAAAATACATATGGGACTTTTTACCCAGAAGGACACAAAATGTCAACTGGCACAAATGAAGCCTGAGCCAGGGGGAAATATGGCAATCTGCCAGGTGGGGGAGTAGATGTGCACATATTTGATTTTTAAACCATAAATCACATGTGAAAAGACGAAAACAATGGACAACAGGGACATATAGTCCCTGGAGAAGAAAAAGAGGGACTGCAGTGTTTTTAGAACTTGGTAAGATTATCTGTATAATTTTCTGGACATGTAAAATTGGAAGGGATGTTGTCTGTTTTTCTTATGACTGTAATTCAAATCTTGGCACAATGGACCGACACTGGCAAGAATATCAACAAATGCTCCAACAGGGATTAAAAAGAAGCTAACAATAAAAATACTGTGCTAAACAAATGAAAAACAGACTAAGATTAGGAATAGAATTTCTGGTGTTGGAATAGATTTGGTATTATCAACAGTGTTGCTTTCTGCAACATTTCTGCACAATCTTTATGTTCAGGAACTGATGTAAATATATATAAAAATTGAAATTTGTGATTCAGGCATCGTGAATTAAATGTAAAATTCATCAATAATATCTTTGCTAATCTTGGGTGTGGGTGTGTGTGTGTGTGTGTGTGTTTGCTTGGTTAGCTTTCCGTATTACCGGTTGCGCCTGCTCTGGACATTCCAGAAAATGTGACAGCTCTTTCAAATGTGGGCGACTGTATAGAACCAAGCTACAATAGCATACCAAATAAATCCATACGATGCTGTGTGGATTAGAACATGTGTAGAAACCACTAGGTGTTAAAACTGCTTTCTCTGGCAAAATTCCTGATGGAGAAATAATCCCTCGCAGTGTGGGATCAAACGTATTCCTGCTTTAATATCCCTCTTTAATCTACAGAGTCCCCCAGAGACTGCCAGTGCATCTAGAATCAGACAAAAACAAGCTGATTCTACATCTGGGCCAAAAAGCTTCAGTTAGAAAAAATGTGTGCAGAAAGAATTAAAAAACACACACTTTTTTGTAAAAAGCATTTTTTAAGGTTTTAGAACCCATATTATTGCAGCTGAGGTGTGTAACTGTGTTGCATTTGCACTTGTTCATTTTCTCCCTGTTCCTTTTATACCCACTTTCAGAGGATGGCGTTTTAAGTGAGTTATCACTTTGGTGTATTATCAGCCGGATATATATATCTCGACAACAATGACGGTGTGTTTTCTTCACACAATTGAATTTCCTTTCCCGACTGTTACTGCTGTTTACAAAACAAAACATAGTGTTTCCATAAAGCAGACATGAAGCCGGCGCTTCCATTCGATAAACGGTACAAGGCACGTCTGTGCTAGCCACAGCTAATGTCATGTTGCTGAAAACCCCTGGGTGACACTGATGAGCAGCGTTTGATTCCTGTCACAACAGTGCTCGAGGGGAAGGAAAAATATAATAGTTACATACAGGTACTAAAAATTCTATCAACACACATGCATTTGCACAGAATGTCCAGCACCAAAGTACAGTATGAATACAAGTACTGTTACAGCACCATAATACAGCATTTCCCAAATTATGAAGCAATATTTTTTTAGTATTTCGGCTCATCCTGTGACTTATATTTAGAAGCAACTTGTATATGAAATAAATATGAGTACAAGAGATCACCATCTACATTTGTAACAACTGATTGCTGTGAATAAACCACTAAAATGTGAATAGATTGCACCATAAAGACATCATTGAGTAATACAAATAAAATATCACCAAAAAGAAAAACAATATACTGCAAATAATAAAAAAAGGTATTCAAGCAAGAGAAAAGTCTGACTTGAACAGATGCTAATGGCGACTTTGATGACGGCCCAGAAGAAGAGGATGTGGTGCTTTATCTTGCTCCAGTGATAGCAGACTTATTTAAGAGCGACTCCAAGCATGAATAGATTCAGTGACTTCAAAAAAGATCAGAAATCTGGTGAACGCGATAGCCTTTTACGTTAACATTTTTTTAGCCCATGTTCTTTATGCTAGAACTTTATTCATCCCACAGTGGGGAAAGACTTCTTAATACTACGGTACAACGTATAGTCTGGAACGTACAAAATCTAATGATTAATAATAACCTAACAATCATTTAACAATAACTAAATAGAGACAATGGAGTGGATGCTAACCTCGTAGCATGGCCTTTTACGTTTCCCAATCTCCTGGACATTTTTTTATCAACTCTAAGTGGTTTCATAGTAGAATGAAGATGCTTTCCTGTATGTTTCCTGCAAATGTCTACAAACTAGAAACAGCAGAACTACTGGTATTAAAAAAAAACCTCTCACAGTCTACATAGCTGCTAGAAGCATTTTACCAAGAGTCAAATCTTTTAGGAGCTGCAAGAGTGGGAAAACTCCACGAATGGCCTACAGTTTTAGCAGCAAGTGTTTTAACTTCACACAGACCTGTGATGCAACACAAAAAGTGCATCCTCTTTTATACATTCTCTCTGTTTCCCCTCACTTCCTTGTCTGCTATTGTGTGGGCAGAGATAGAAGCTGTGGATGGGTTGTTAGATTAAATGTCAAAAAATGTGAATCACACAAGAGAGGTTTTGAATTACACTTAAAAAAGAAATGAAAATCACAAAAAGAAAAAGGTGTAAAAAAAAAAAGACAGGAGAACAATGTTGTCCATGATGTTTTCACAAATGAAACATAAGCAGGTCCACATCAGCAGCAAAATGAGAGGCTAACGTTTTGGTGTTGAAAGAGGCATTTTACTTTCATCATCTCGTTACACATATTACGCACACATTCTCTAGCATTAACTTTTGTGTACTTTTTGTGCACATTTTATACCTCAAGGTTTTGCAATTGCAGCTTTGTGATTATCCTATACCATGGACAAACTGCCCGTGTGAAAAAACAACGGAAACTATGGATTGTCAACCATCTGTAAGTTTTTAATCAATCACTGCACCAAGGCTAATGGCCAGTTACCTCGCATTCAAAATTGCTAATTAAGCAGATTACACTTAAAGCACACAGAGAAGAGTAACAAGAACTGGGAGAACACAAGGTAAACAGTTAAAAAAAGAGAAAGTGCCAACATATATTGACTGTATGCACTAATGCAGTGGTTCTCAAACCTTTTATACTCTACCAACAGAGAAAACCTTGATCTCTCTTAGTTCCACCATGATGACCAACATTAGAATATAGCTGCATGGGCCTTCACTATTAGCTTCCACCACACAGGAGAGAGGTTTAGAAATGTTTAGAAAGATGTTTATGTTTAAATGTTGTATTAATTGTGCATGGTATGTTTCATATTCATTCAATTGGAAATGTAAATGTGAAAATATGAATTTTCACTATGTACCACTAGAGAGCGCTCGCATACCACTGGTGGTACACGTACCACAGTTTGAGAACCACTGCTCTAATGCAACCCAAACCATTTCAAACCACTGTCAGCGTTTAAAAAAAAAAACCTTACAATAGTAAAAAAAGTTATAAAAGATAAGAAAAGCCAGAGATCCAATAAGACTGTACCTGTGATGGCTGACTTGCAGTTCTCCAAGGAGCTGATTCTTGAACCACTGGTCAAAGTCAACATTGTCAAACAGCTCATATGCAGCCAGTCCCACTGCATTGTACACTGCAGAGAGATACAGACAGAAAATCAATGAGTCGGTCACAATACTCACAATGGTGCTGGTGATACTGAACTCGCACAAAAAAAAAACCTTCCACTATGTTTAGCTTTTGAAAGGACAAGTATAATACATCTTATTCTGGATCCAGCTGCAAATATTCATGTTTTTTTATTTAACACCACACTATATCCCATGACATTAGGCACACAAAATATATTTGCTGCAAAACATGAAACAACTTCCACACACTGAATGGTGCTGAAAACCTAAGCAGCTAGTAATTGTCTTGTTTTAAATATTTATGCCCCCAACTTAGCACTTTCAAATAACGGGGTAAAAGAATGGTAATTACTGAAGCAGCGATTCCAAATAAAGAAAGCATGAAGAATGAACTAGATTTGTACCTTGTGAGCAGTTCAGTCGCTAATCATAAAATCTGCATTATTTAGATCTATGAATAGTATGCAAACTTCCAAAAGTACTTCAAAACATCATGTTGAGTGTGAGTAGATTTGGTTTAGGATTATATGCACCACTGCTACAGAACACATACAAAACTGTAAAATCCTACATAGTTGTCCACCTTTTTTTCTGCACCACAAATACTCTCTCTATTCAAAAATGTGATCTTATGTTTGTGGTGCTTTAGCCGAGAGGGAATGTCTCTGTCGTTGGTGTGGAACCCCAGGGTTCACCTCCTGGACAAGTTCAAATCCCTGTTAAGGCGGTTGGTACCTTCCAGTGGTACGGGTGGGGGGAGGGGAGGTTGTTACAGTGCAGTGTGATTTGGGTGGCGGTCATGGAGACTGTTGCCCCTGCGACCTGGTAACGAATAAGTGGATGAAAATGAATGAATGGATGGATGGATGGATGGATGGATGGATGGATCTTATGTTTGTTTGAGGATCCAGAAAGACAAAAAAATGTGCTTAAAGCAGTTGAGGTATGTTCTATATCGGTGCTGCGCTTATTATGGGCTTTTGTGAAAATGAGCACCTGCAGTGATTAATTGCACCTATAGATCTTCCACCAATTACAGCTCTCAGTCACAACCACAAATTATGTGAAAGCCCCGCCGCTGCCGCAGCACAGCTTCATCATCCACTGATGTTTGCCGTTTTATCAATACTGTCAGCAGACTGATGAGATGTCCACAGGTATCCAGCTTTAACAGAAGTCCTCTTAGCAGGTCATCCAAACTGTCTGCAATTTATTTACGTTGGCCATAAAACCAGACCCCATCTGACAAGCTGTTGTAAATACTGACAGGAGGTGGAGAGCAGGACACAAGACGGAGAAAAAACAGAAAACAATCCAACAAATAAAGCTCTTAACACTCTCCATATATTTCATTAAGGGACGAGGATAGATAATGTTACTATCAAGCAAAAACAGGTGGCACTATTGACTTACCTGCATCCTTCATTAGCAGCTGCACAGAATCATCAACATTTGTTGGACCTGAAAAGACATTTAAATAATTTCATTGCCAAGTCTGGTGCTGCAGATTATGTAGATCCATACACCTATCCAAGGGCCCCAGGATAAAAATGTTTTTAAGAGTGAAGTCCACCTGATAGGATAACTTCAAATATCCACTTAAAGATAAAACATTTTAAATGAAATATATATTAGATATAATTTATAATTAAGTTCTCAATATAATACACTCCAGCCCTGTAGGTGGCAGTGCAGCAATCTAAATTTAAATCAGCCTGTGTGTGCTACTGCATCATCAGCATCACATTTTCTCTTCCTGTAGTTATTAGTAAGACTAGCAAGATTGGTAGACTTATAAGTAAGTCAACAATGTTGGCAGTTTGGACAGGAAGGATGGTCAAAAGACCAAAAGTTACCGGGAAATCTGTCCTGTTGTAATTCGAGCGATTTAGTATTGAATACAATGTAGACAGGAGGAGACTTTGTGTTTTCATTTGAATGCACTATGGGTGTAAAACTTCTGCTCACTTTCTGTTCAGCTGTCTGTGTTAACTATGTAGAAAGTTTTTTTTGTTTATTTTGAATTTTTTTTTTCAACCTTACACAGTGCCATTTGTTAAATACAGAGCAATTTTGTCCTAAAATAGCCTTCATTTATGTGAAGAAAATAAAACTGGATGTTAGCTTTCTTTAGCAAATTACCCTAGAGTTGCTCCACCTCTGAAAAAAAATTGTCCTGGAACAATTCTCAGAGCTTTCTTATCAATGCAGCACTTCATGCTGCTGCACAGATGAGGACAAGGCGTCTGCCCTGTTCTCTGCACCTACAGTGTTTTCTTCTACTTCAACACCCTTGGCCATTTGTCAGAGGTGGGCTCATGATGAACTGCAACTGGAAGTTTGTTGTTCTACATCCAATGTCAAATTTTTACTCTATATGTTGCATAATAATTTTGCACATCTGTAGTTACAGTGTGGCTGGTGAGCGGTACTGCAGCGGATAACAAATCCCAATGAGGTCTGTATTAAAAAGCTGTCATCCAGCCTGGATGGCAGGTACAAATGAATGACGCAGGTGCTTATAAGACAGTAACATGTCTTCACTCAATAATTGTATGATTAACATTTCCATCATAGCTTGTGCAACAGCATGTTTATTATTACAACTGTTAAATAGAAACATTTAATAGGAACAGAGGATATTTATCAGTTTTCTCAAATGTAATAAATATTTTATATCTTCCTACATGTCATCACATTTGCATATCACAGTGAGACAAAGCCATAAATAAAGTCAGACTAAGCATAATGAAGGGGAGTCCAACTTGTGGCTCCGAACCTAAATGCTGCTTTTTAACCCCTGTGTAATGGCTTTTTGTTGTAGACCAACTCCATTCCCACTGTGAAATGACTAGTATTATAAGTAAATAGCAAAAATAAAAAGGTGTGTTTTTTTGTTTTACAAAGAATATGGTTAAACATATTTAACACACCACCCTAAATTTTCTGCTTGCTTGCTAGCAGCAAAGTAACACACTTGCACTGTTCTCTTAACTTAAGATCAGGTGTGCAACTTTTAGGTACAGCAACTATTGTTGACTTAAGTTCACTGTATGCTATTGTACTGTGTCATACTGAATACATAGTACTATTGTGTAGGAACTAATTTGTAGTACTATGACAGTAATTAAAATCCCATACACTGCACTAATGCAACCACATAAATGGTTGTGGATATAATTTATTGGTAAAATTATAAAAATGTACTTTTTTGGTGTTGAAGGTTGCATGGTTCCCTTGTTGTAATACAATACTATAAAAACATTTTGCTTTAATTGGGACTACACAGAAGTTGAAATTGCCCATAAGAACAAAAATGTTATACTTTTATTAATTTTCAGAGCTAAAATAATAGAAAAGAAAAAAAATAAAATTACTATGTGACAAAATTGTGTTAAGTAATAAAGATTTTTAGGCCAGAGCATTTTTCTGTGAAATACATTCAAACTATCATGACTCACCCTGAAGCTTCTGAACCATGTCCAGTAACACTGGTGTCAAGGTCTGGCTGTAGTTGTGAAAGATGTCCAGAAACAACACTTCTGTACAAGGCTACAGAGGAAAAAAACAATAATTAAATTATAGAGATCATGGTTCACTGGAGCTGTGGAAGTCATCAATACCATTTTTACACATTCTAGGTAAAGGAACATGATTTCGCTGGAAATTGTATATATTTATTAAAATGTAGAAATGTCTGTACCGGCTGTATTCAACCATATTAGACACGGTGTATGAAATGTAATAAATGCAGAGGGTGAGCAGGTTTGTTTGTACAATTTGCATAATTTACAAAATATGGATTGCAGTGACAGGTCAGAGCCCTGTAACCTTTACCTGTAGTTGTCACAGGGTAGAGGTCACATGACATTTTTTAAGACAAACCCTTCGCCAAATGAGCAATGAGATGCAGTGGTACTGACCAGTAATTATGAATGACTATTGTTGAACACGGAAAAAGGAAATGCACAGTGACATTTGACCGTTAATAAAAATCCAGAGGGAAATGGCCAGTTGAATATTGAGTTACACATGTAAAGGTGTGGATGATCTCATCATAATTTGACTACAGTGTTTTTCTTATAATTATGACTTACTGTAAATATATTTTCTTTTAAACATATATTTGCAGAGTTTTCCTCTGTTAAGTTAAAATTATTTTTTTTAAATCAAATACAAATACTTGTTTACTAAAAAAAATCTTTCAACTGATTATAGTTAACATTAACTTTGATAGAATGACATAAAAAACAGACATGAACAAAATGTAAATGCTTTGATTGTACAGGGTAAACAGCCATGTATAAGGGAGGGAAGAAATAATAGAACAAAAACCAGACACTGGAAAGGAAGCGATGTCATGACTGAAGCCGAGATAAGTCTCTGCCAGCGAGACACATTTAGTGAGATAAGCTATTAAAGCCCCAGAGTCTGCTGACTAATCGATGGGGATGTCTACGTAAATTGTGCTCTTTAGTTTCTGTAGTTTTCTGTAGTGTACAAGTGTATAAAATGATACAAAAAAATTGTGCAATTTAACCATTGTATTAATCTATAAGTTAAGTATATCTATAAGGTATGTCAAAATGTTCCAAGACAATTGTTCCATCACCTACCTTTCTGCCTCATCTGTGGACTGCATTTGGCTCTTTTTTAAGGTTATTTCAATTTAAAAACAAAAAATAAAAAGGCAATAAATCTAAACATGTCACAAAGCCTCAATAAGTCTAAAAATAAGTCACAAGTTTGGCTATATTTGACTAAAAATCCTGATCAAGTGAAAAAAAAATACCTAAAACAAATACTATATTTTGATTATGATGTTATGAATAATATCTTAACATAATTACCAAAATGGGACAAATCAGTCTTAGACCTTTCCTTGTTTTTCATGTTATTAAGATGCAATATGGCCCATATGTAACTATCATCAGTGAAAAGTGAAGACTTATGTTACCATTAAATTCTAATATCTCCAGCACAGGGATTTGGTTTTGTACCAGCTGTAGTCAGCAATGAAAAACATGAAAGAAGAAGAAAAAATGTTTTTTGCATTTTCAAATTACCCGTAAACTGTATTTCCAAGAGTCTCCACCGGTTTCTTCAACAGCTGGAAGACAAAAAGAAAAGAGTAGAAAAAAAGGTAAAAACAAAATGACAAAATTTCACAATGTAGTTAATGCTGTACAATTTATCAGAGCAGTAAAAGTAAATGGCATGAAAAATATTTTTGTCATTTCTTAATTTCTACCCCATGTGCCTTAAAACACTTCTCCAACTGTGAGCCTACATTATTGACCCATCTTCTACATGAAAAAAAAAAAAAACAGGAAGTACAATGTTCTTAAGTCTGCACCCACTGCCACAAAGTCTAAGACTGGAATATCCTCAGTGTCCTGCCTTTAAAGCTAACTGGCCTGCAAGTTAAGATAAGGCCCAACATTTGGTGTGAGACTGTGTATCCAGGGATGTGCTATTACCAAAGCTCTCTGGGTCCTCTTCCCACATCGCCAGCTCTTCCTCTGTGAGAAGGAAATAGTGAGAGACGAGCCGACGTCCAATCTCCGTCAGTGTGGGATGTGTGAAGAACGCTGTCTTGATCTCGTGAGCCTCCAGATTTTCTGGTTTGTTGTCTGAGGGAGAGAACAAGGAGGAAGTGGCAGAGAATTAGAAGGGAAGGGTATAAATACATTTCACAGTTTACAAAAATCACAGTTGTGAGAGCTGTGAGAAAACCTTAATGTCATCTTTGAGGCTCTGTATTCCTTCTACCGTCTTGTGTTTCTGTAAGGTGTAACATGCAATATTGTAATTGGAATTAATTAGGATACAGCCATTATAAACCACACTGCTATTTTACTTCCCCTTAGTAATAAAGCTTTAGCACCTAGCCACTGAAAATACATGTGAAGTGGAACACACATCATTTATCAGAGGGCACCACATAAGCTATATGCAGACCATCAATGTCTTTTACTTACAATGTTGATGATATATATATACACACATATATATATGTATATATGTATATACACATATATATGTATATATGTATATACACATATATGTATATATATATACACACATACATATACACACATATATATATGTATATATATAAAAATATATATATTTTACAAATGTAGCTATGTATGTTTCTATGATATATATATATGTATATATATATATATATATGTATATATATAAAGTATGTATAAAGTATATGTAGAGTATTCAGAGTAGGCATTAGTCAATGCTCATCCACTCGATCTAAATTAGGAACTGAAAACAGTGTTTCTTCCTATGGTAATGGAAAATGCTATGAACTGAGCACAAGTGACACATTCTCTAACATTTCAGTGAAACCAAGGTGTTAACACGACCACGGAACTTGTTTCCATTATCCATGAACTATTTATTGCTTTGGAGAAAGATCTTCAGTGAGAAACACACAAGAACAGAGTCGCTCGGAGAACAAAGACTGAGTGCTACGCTTTACAGCTAATGAAGCACTAGAGGCCTCTCGCAGCTTGAAATAAACATGAGCCTTGGTGAGACAGGCTGACGTTGATGGCATTGCTGTGCTTTTCAAAACACTCTCAGAAATCAGCTATGAAGCACTAGAGGCGGTTTCTTCTGGTTTCTCAGTCACCTAAAATTCATATTCATCTGTCACTCCTCTAACATGTCTTTTTTACCCCACATGAATTTCTCATAGTCTAACCTCCTCACGTGTCTTACCTTCGATGTTCTTGGCAAGTTTGTAGGCATCATTCTTCACAATCATCTTGATGAGATTCATGCACTGCACAATGAAGCGTTCAAAGGTTACTCCCTCCCCTGCAGGTGTGAAGACGTAGCTGACAGCGAATTCCAGTGAGCGTTGGATTAGGGGTATAAACGCACAGGGATGATATTCCAAGAAATCTAACAACTATATGAGAAAGGAGAAAAGACAGAGAGAAACCAAAGATAATTAAAACTAGTTAACTGAGTCTAAGTCACTAAAAACAATCAGTCATATTTAAAGTGTAATTTCATATTAATCAGTCAACTGACCACTTTGGTGTACAATATGATCATCTTTTCCAGTTTTTCTCTGCAAGTGCCATCGGGACCAACCTGTCGACCTAAAACAAAACACGTTGCAACACATCAAGAACAATGGAAGCAACAGGTTTATTTGTCATTGGATGAAATTAAATTTTATCATCAATAATTTGCCTAAATTGTTTGCAACAAATCCAGGATGATGAGCTGTGGATAAAAACATAAAGAACCACAAGTTATATAGATTTTGCAGGTAAAAAGGGAGAAAAATGGAAAAAGAAACACGTGCAAATCCAAGGGAATTTTACAAGGTGATTTTCTTGTCATGTACACCAGCAGTGACACTACCACCTGCTTGCGTTTTCTCTTTCTTCTGTAAGTGAATGTTCGAGGATAAGTTTTCAGGGGCGAAACAAATACTGAGTTAAAAAAATGTATTTTTATTTTTATAATTAATTACACCTTCAGGAGAGAGTGGGTTATGTGGCACCTCTTGCTAAATATTGATGGATTTTATTAGTACCAAGGATTAGCCTTCAAAAACATTCAGTCTTCAAGGTCAAATGCCTATTCCATCCTTCTTTGGACCAGGCTCATGGATCTGGTCCAACAATATATAATACAGTAATAAAAGATTAAAGAAACAACAGTGACTCACTTGCTAATGTACATTTTGGCTCTATACAAGCAGTCATGATGCCAAAAACCAATAAAAGTTCTGTTCCGTGAAATTCATGGTCAACTGTAATATGACACTGACACAATGACACGATGTGTCAAAAGGTCAAGGTCATTGGTTGTTTTTTCATACTAATGGGTTACTTTGGGGAACTATTGCTGTGACAGCAAGTGCTTTTTGAAACTGTGTGTAAACAAAAGGTATTAAATATATGAAGTAAACCATTGGTATGGCATTCTTTTGGATCCTTGCCATTTGCTGGTGTGACAGCGATCAAAGTGAACAGACAATATGTTAATTTAGTCATTGAGTCACGATCACAAAAAAATTATAGAAAAAAAGTGACAAAATATTACAGAAACAGACATTATTCCTGACATGTAAAGCAGAGCGAGAGAGGTGTCCACAAGGTTGTGACTTACAGAAACAGACGTGACCTTAGATGGAGGATAAACATCCAACAGCAGGAGCCAGACATCAAAAGGGACCAGAAACATTGTTCAAAAAACACCGGTTTATAAGGATGACCTTATCTGTCTGTGTTCAGCTGATATTTCTCTTGCCCCAACTGTGACTTGTCTTGCTGTTTCCTTTATCTATTCGTTTTGACTACCAACAGGACACTGACACTGTCTCCAATACTGGAGTATAAACAGTATAAAACCAGGGAGAGGGAGCAGCAGTTGCTGCTGATATTCAGACGACAGTTTGAGGAAACATCTGCCATCATTCTAGCTCGTGAAGCTGAGTTTTATCTCATTCTAGAGTAATTATTATGACACAGGTATACATCATCCCTGCCATTTATTTTTCATCAAATGGTATAGTCTAAATCGTTGTACCTTATTTCTGCACTGACAACAGTGTTGTGGAAAATTTGTTCCAGGTCCTTGCCTTGTCAAGACACTTTTTCATTTACATTAAAAAACATCACCTGCTCTTCTTCCCTTCATTGCCACTGTGTTTAAGTACAAGAGAAACACCATTAAAATCTCACAAAGGACTAGAACAGAATGGCCAACTCAAACATAATCCAACTAAATATTGGTAAACAAGACATATTTTATCAACAATATTCCTAAAAAAAAGAACTGACCTGATATTTGTTGAGGATTCTTTACAACTTTCATTTCACTTTTACACTTGGAGCTACAAGTCAAGGTTTAACAACAAAAGGATTTTCATACTGTCACACAGACTTAACTGTTCTCTAAAGATCAAAAGTTCCTAATTTCTCTGGTGTCATACTTTAAAGAATAGTACTGAACTTGTTTTTATTTTTACTTAAAAGTCCTTTTATGAAAGGGGATTATGACCAAAAGTATATTTGATAGTTCCTGGTCAATATCTAGTGTTTCACTGGATAATTAACTGCACCTATTAGTAGTTCTGTCCTTTGTGTGGATAACAGTTTTATTTTACTTTTTTATTGCATCTGATTTTTTTTTTGTCCTGTTTTATTGTGTATCAATGCAGACTGTAACTTCATTGTTCCTATGGGAATTATCATCTTCATAACAGGAAACTCAAGTCCTAAAAGATCTAATTTGAATCAACAACTATCACAAAAAAAAAAAACAAAGAGACAAGAAAACAGTGAACTAAATGAGTTCCATCTGTGATGTCTATTATTTAGAGCAGTTGCAGCAGATGTGTGTGTGTGTGTGTGTGTGTGTGTACGTGTGTGTGTACGTGTGTGTGTGTGTGTGTGTGTGTGCGTGTGTATGTGTGTGTTTGTGAGAGGCTAGTTGTATAGTAACCTTTCTTGCCTTTTAGGGATCTCATCTGCACACAGAGTGCTGCAGGTTGAGACATTTCAGTCCAGCTGCTATGTCAAATTATGTAAGTACAAACACAACAGGCTTTTTAAGCCATAATAATTCTAAACACTCAAGTCTCATTAAAGAAGCTTATATCACATACATTTGATGATAACTAGACAAATGCAAAGTAAAAATAGGACCCAGTCTAAATGAAGCCAGTACATTCGGTGATGCTGTTTTAAAAATGTGTTGCTCTAAATAAAAGCTCTAGGGAAATGGACAGCAGGCAGTAACACAGACAATAGTGTCACTATGCTAACATACATTGTTATAACAGCTCACAAAGTACAATAATGATAATTGGGGAAGGCAGTGAAGCAGAGATAATAGGCCAACAGATGGTCTGTGATTTAGTCAGTGGGCTACAACCTATGTCATCAATTAAAACTTACTTAACTTACTTACTTTTCATGTCAAAAATATGACAATTCCTGACTTTACATGTTAAAAATCTCAACTGAACCTAAACCTGTTCAGAAAAGATATCTTCACACTGAAGCATTATACAGTACTCCATTATTCTGCATAGAAATGTGTGTATATTTAAGGATGTTGTAATGTTTTGATTCAATTCCAATATTAAAGAAAGAAAGAGTTAAATACTTACAACATTCCAGAAATTGTTTTAGACGTTCAAAAACTGCATTCAGGAAGCCCTAAAAAAAAGGAGAAGAGAAGCTGAGAAAAGCGCCATCACTCTGACTTTTCGGCAAGTTGAACCCCCCTCTGTTTTGTTCATCAGTATTTCCCAAATGCAAATTAAAAAGAATAATAATTATAATAATAATAATAATTAACTACTTCCTGTAGTAAGCTTAAGTCGATCCAATGTGACATTGGAAACAAAACTGGATTCACCCCAAAAAAGAGCTCACAATCCAGCACAGTCAAAGTCAAAACATTTTAAGATGAGTAACCTTATATCAAATCTCCATGGTCATGTACATTTGGAGTACATTGCAGTACTCGCAGAAAACACAAATACATGTAGAGAACATGCCAACTTCTCAAAGTATAAGCACTTACAACCGTGGAGTTTAGATAATTAACCAAGATGCAATCTGTTTATTTGCACATTCCTGTTTGACCTTAAGGTCAACAGCAGTAATTAATCACTCCTTCAGCGACCAGCACAGCCATTGCTCTAGAACCAAGAATCAAGATCCAACCACAGGAGAAAAGAGGGGGAAAGAGGGGGAGGGCTGAAGAGGGAACAAGGTGTGAGGCAGGTATTTGAAAGGCTAATTGTGAGGAATTTAGAGAAGAGAGGGTGACGGGGTGAACGACATAATGAGGTTGAAAACTACTTCACATCAAGTGTGCAGGACATTAGAAATGACTAGAGCAAAGGACGTACAAGAAAAGTATGGTGGTGAGTCACTGAACGGTGAATAAAGTTTTGACATCAGAAGAAGAAGTGAGAGTCACGGCTTTAACACAGAAAAACACAAGGTTACTTTTAAAGGTGAGTTACTTAAAGGTGAACTAATGTGATGGCAAAAAAAAAGAGACATAAAAAGGTCAGTACCCATGAGGACTTTGACAAATGCTTTTTCTGATTTTAAAAAGCATTTTAGTAAATATATCCATCCATCCATTTTCATCCGCTTATCCGTTACCGGGTTGCGGGGGCAGCAGTCGCCACCCAAATCACATTGCACCGTACCGAAACCTTCCTGCGGGTGGTGAGTCCACTGGAAGGTATTAACCGCCCTAACCGGGATTCGAACTTGCCCAGGAGGTGAACCCTGGGGATCCACACCAATGACAGAGACATTGCCTCTGGGCCAAAGCGCCACTTTAGTAAATATATGTGGTATTTAAATTTAAAAAATACAAATGACAAACATAATGAACTGCACACACGTGTTATACAATGTACATGACAGTTTTTTAACTGGATGCCAGAACACTGTAACCCGTGTGATTTGTACACTTGGGCACTTGACTATGCCCACTTCTTGCCTGCTCATCTATCTTTTAGCTAATACGTGCTAGAGAAGCATCTCACAAAAACAAAGCTGCCCTGAACAGTAAATTATGACATATACTCAGAAAACTCACAACACCAAATATATGTAAAATAGTACACTGATTCTTGCAATCCCACCTGTTCCTGGTTTAATTTAAAACGAACTCTGTGCTTTACCATTCCAGAAAGATTCCAGAAAGGTTGAGCAGAAAAAGCATTTCATACATAAAATTGAAAAAATGCAGCAGACAGATCAAACAATCGCAGACTTATAAGAATTTTCAAAACAGCCACAGAGTTAATTAAAACAAAACAATGAGCGTAACATGGTCATTTAAATCCAAATTTTCCCCCAATTTTTTAAGCCTCACCTGATCCATTCACAAAAATTAACTCTCTTTCTGGTTCATTTGTTCTGGAGCATGAAACTTGGCAGTGAGACACGTACATCTTTCATGGAAAATCTCCAGCCTCCAGCTAAAATAGTCTAGACTACAAGACTCCACAGTGTGGAGCAACAGATGCAGAAGGAATAAATAGTAAACAACATGAGCTAATAATTCATTCTGCAACTGGTGAGGAGTAACACGATGATGCATCAGATGGTGAAGTGAAATCCTAATATTGTCTGGGAAGACTCTACCGTAAAATAAATCTCTACAAAGACATCTTTAAATTTTACAATATTACGAACTGGAGCAGAGATACGTCTGTTGTGGAAGGAGGTGTTTCACAGAGATATTTCTGTCCTGAATCACCGTCGGCTAAATAACCAACGGGACAAATAGTATCACTGAGCAATGACTGCAAGTAGTGAGTCTGAGATATTAACAGCTTTTACAGCCAAACATGAAACATTAACTCCACAGTGTATATCACAGACTCACAGTGCTGGAATAACAAGCCTCAGCTCAAGGATGATTGTGTTTTAATGTGAATGTTTTAACCATTAAACATTCCTTAGCCTGCCAGCAAAAAGTAGTCTCATTAGTGGGATAATAGAGTGTCACTAAGTGTCCTTGGCAAATGTATTAAAAAAAAACAATTAGGCAATAAAACAAAACATCATGGGGATGAAGAGAAATTGTGAGAACAGAAGCCAGTGAATGGCTGCTCCCTTATGTAAAAAATAAAACATAATAATGATTAAGTTTGGTCAATATCAAAATCAAAATTACTTAACCCAATTACTCATTGTCTTTGAAAAAACGTGGTACATTTATTGCACATGAAAAACAGAAAAAGGTGATTTCTAACACCTCCCTGTACAACTTATAACTGAAAGTATCATATTTAAATTTTAAAAAGTTAATAACAAATAGGAAATTTGCAATGTAGGGCACTTCCAGAATAAGGAATAAGGAGGAAAAATACTAAATAAAAGGTACAATGCATATAATGATGTAATACCAGTTGTCATGACTAATTAAACTAAGAAAGTAAATACGACCATGTTAGAAATGTAAGTCTTCTTTTGCAAATAAAAATGTGCTAGTTCTCTTCTCTTTCCGCCGTCTTTCCGCTTGCTGCCCATAAACAGTTCAGCCTTTGGAAAGTGTACAGACTATCCAACTACACAAGGCTTTATAAAATAGTTCTATCAATAATCGCTGTTTTTAATTACATTGTTTTTATGATCATCGAGAGCCCAAATCGAAATCATTACTTAAATAATTCCACAGCCTTAATACAGTATTAGACTAATCCTTTAAAGAGGCATGAGGGCAGGAGCTGGAGCCTATCTAAGCACTCGTCGGACTGCGCTACACCCTGGACACTTCACTGGTCAATCACAGTCCCACAAAGGAAGACAAAGACAAAAAGGAGACAAACAAGTGCCACTCATATTTAAATCCACAATTATTAAACACTGCCCAGTTAGCCTACTACTAAATATATATACCGACAGTGGGCAGTAGTGGCTTAGTGGTTAAGGAAGCGGACTTGAGTCCGGAAGGCCTGGTTCGAGTCCACCAGCTGCTAAGCTACCACTGTGGTGCTCTGAGCATGACACCGTCCCCACTCACTGCTCCCCTGGTCCTTAAAGCTGCCCACTGTTCACTTTGGTGATGGGTTAAAAACAGAGGTCACATTTGATGGTGTGCTGTGTCACAATGGCAAATAATTCACTTTCACAATACGATAAAGCCAGAGAACACACGTAGAGAAGGTAAGATCTCTTGCCCCTGCAAATGAATTATTTTTAATTTAAGCTTAAACAGATATCAAAATACCATCTCTCTAATGCTTTACTGTACAATCCTGTATCAACCATAGCATAAAGAAAAACCATCACTCACCATCACTTCAGCGTTCTGTTGTGGTTCTTGAAATCCATGGACAGTCAACTTGCGAAGCACTGAAAAAGTAGAAATTTAGAGTTCAGTTTTGCTCTGTAACTGTTGTGCCCCAATTTACCACCAGTGGTATCCAATAATAACAGATATCAAAGTTTAAATGCAAAATTGTTGTTTGGAAATATAAATATTAAAAATAACATTCAGCTGTAGGCTGACATAAGTGCTGAGAATATGGAGAGGTTTTTAATTTGAACCATACAACCAGGAGTCAAACACTTATATACTTATAAACTTAAAACTATGGGGTTTTTTTTTAAACGTGGCCATGTCATAAAACTCAATTTCTATACATGACTGCAGTTTAATTTTAATTTTTAAAACATATGAACTGTTTTTCTGTGAGGTTTTCTGGTTTGTGACAGTTTGTATGTTTTCTGTTATCTTCACCTTTGAGAGAGAGCAACGTCCTTTCCAGTGAATTGAGGGCTGCAGCCTCGTCTCTACCATAGATCTGCTGGAGGAAGCAGTCTGTGTAATGACTCCACAGGGAGCAGGCAAAGCTGTAGATGCCCGACGCCAGCTGCCAACAAAACACAAACAGTCACAGTCCCAATTACAATATTCTGAATCGAGGTGACCATTTATCAACAGGTGTATAAAAGCACTCTGGCGTAAGTTCAATCATAAATGCACGGCAATGCCAGACGTCGATGCAAACATCACCCTCGAAAGCAAAGACTTAAAATTAGTCGCTTTAGATGATGATGCTAATACAAAACCACTTTCATGTAATACATTCATTGAGAAAAAGAGCACACGGGAGCAGAAGGCGACCTCTGAGTCGTGTTCTAATTTAGCCCTGAATGAACTTCCTATTACAGTCAGTGCCTGAAATTTATTTAGGCCAGAAACAATTCCATTTTAAATGTGTTTTTCCAGCAGAAGGAAAACAAGGCCATTAAAGAAGGCAAAAAAAAAACTCAGTTCTATCAGCTGTATCACGTATGCGCTGACCCAGCAGCTCAGAAAATTGAGTAATAATGAGCTTTGTTTTCATCAAAAGAACACAAACAGGAAGGAGAGGAGACTCACCAAACAAATCAGTCACTATTCAAACATAACTTAACATTCAAGCCTTTACCCTTGACCTAAATTGTTTAAATAATGGAAATAACAGCCAGGAAATCGGTATCAGTAATCACAAGAAAGTGATACACTACTTGGGAGAATGTGCTGTGAGTAACAATTATGGAAGGCAGCTATAGTAATAAATGTGTTGGTAATAGATACAATTATTTATATGATGCAATTGTCCACAATGGCTTTTAGGCCATCAACATTACTTGTATGGGATTACCGCATTTTAGCATCAGAGACAAAGACGGAAGCAAGATTTACTGTAGAAATTGTGACATTACAATACAAGTTATTGTTATACACCTGAAGACAGTGGTTTTCAGAATGGGGGCTTCTAGGGGACGCTATGATATAGAATCAATTTTCTTTTATTGATATAACCATTATCCTAAACCGTACATGACGTGATAATCTGTGTAGCAAGCTAACGCAAACTGAACAGGTTTTTGCCAGTGCTGAAAACATGTCCGTTAATGAATATGAAAAAAAAAAAAAAAATCCTATAAAATATGTAAATGTTACTGAAAAGTGAGTAAAAGTAAGAGTACATAGTACATACTATGTTGTAGCTTCATCATTAGGGCAATGGCATGGAAACATTTGGGAACCTCTGCACTGAAACACTGACACATCTACACAGTTCAAGTGACTAAGTAAACATAGGAAACCTCGCTTTTTATCTTTGCTTTTAGTACCACTGTTTTCCTTATTCCAAATTTGTATTCTCTAATGCACATGTCACCCTACAACTCAGAGCTATGCAACCTACTGTGAACAATACAGCTTTTAAGTTCCTTGCATTGAGATGAAACCTGAACTAAAGGAGTAAAATTATTGGTACTCAGTACAGGAGAGCAGAGACATATAAAAATATTTGTATTCATAACATAGTGTAAAACATAGTATTGGGACAACCCTAGTAACAACGGTATATAAAATAGAAGCTGGTCATTAGATTGAAGAAAAAACTTTTTTTTTAAGAAATCCCTGCTTTGACAGGACAGCAGAGGCTCGGGCAGATTACTTAGAGGAAAGTGCAGAGTTGTCAAGTTCTCAGGTTTTGGAGAGATTCTCTTGAGCTCACCACTTTCCATTTCACAGACCCAAAACTAATCCAACATATAGAACCTTAAAGTGATGAACCACAACTGAAAACACTGAGACTATTTCTTTTCACTTCCACAGAGGACACATCTACACGTGCATGACAGCCAAATAGATATTAAATGGTTTAAATAAACCGCTAGCGGAGGCATTAAATGGAGACATCGATAAAAACTAGAGTGCATTTTCTGCTTCTGCAATATTAGCTTTGGTCTTAAAACATCTCAAGGGGGAATATTTGGAATAAACCTTAGTTTAAGAAGTTAATACTGCAGTACATTAATCATCAAACTTTAAGAAAAACTTAATATTGAGATAATATTCATATTATACTTCTGTACAAATGTACATATAGACCAACAAACATCTTGTTCTTCGTGGTATAACCAAAAGAGAGATAATCACAAAATGTGTTCCAATTTTATCACCTTAGGCAAAGGCAGCATGGCCTCCAGTGCCATGACTGATGAAACTTAAAAAAAGTGAACTTGACTTAAATCCCTGCTGTGACCCAGGTGGCACACTGCACTGAAAAGAGATTATGCAACAGCACAAGAGCTGGAAAAGTACCTTTCATGGCAAAAACTGGAGTTCCCTGACAACAAATTACATTAACTACACTAATTACACAAAAAGTAGTGACTGCAGAGGTCTGACAGCGAGTTTTGGTAAATTGCTTATACCCTGAATCTTATAGCATTTTCAATCCTACAGGTATTAATCAACAGATCATGAGCAGAGCTTTACCAATACTGACGCATTTCAACAAAAAAAACTAGGCACAGTCTACTGGCTTTGAGGGAAGTGAAAGTATCACTTAAACTGTTCCATTATTTCCATGACTCAATAAGCAAATTAATGTAAATGTTTTTATATATATTGTTATTTGTTGTCATTGGAAGACATAAGCACATTCAGCATAAAGGCACATTTTTTTCAGGTTTAGTTGAATTGCTAACAAGACTATATTGTAATAGAATCCTTGACCTACATAAATACACCACCCATGAAAGACTGAAATGTGGAAGAAAAACATGAAGTATTGGTAATTCCTCCTAAAAAATTAACCACGTTTTTATAGAGCATTTGAACTTCCCCTAAAAGGAGACAGAACTGGACTAGAGGGAGGACAACAAAGTAGGCTTTTTTTATAGCTCTAATTGTAGTAGGCCTACTATTGTATGCAGTTTGCATCTCGGCCATGAGACAATTAAAAAGGATAGAGATAAGCGTTTTAATTTATTTTCTTTGGTCCTTTTCTTTTCTCTTCTGTTACAGCTTTTTGCAGTGTTACAGGCATCATTTTTCATTTGTTTATATTCGACAAATACAATTTTGGTTCTCAGTGAAAACTCTGCTATGATGCAGTCAACATATTTTAGTGACTGTTTTAGTGAAGAGTAGATAACAGAAGAGGAGAGACTAAATGAGGACATGAAAATATCAGCAGCATTACTGCTACAGGACATTTTATATTAGTATATTAATCACAGACTTGATATTTTAATCGTTTAATATATCATCCTGGCTGAATTTAAGCCAGGAAGAGACGATATGAAACCGTCATGTTTGAAAGTCTAAAAAGTTTTCTTCTGCTTTTGGGTTAAATCAGGTAACAACAACTTTCCCCTGTTCTTGCTCAGACCCTGATTTAATAAGGTGTGACATTGTAGATGGTGGCTGAGCCTTACCACCAGAGACGGCATTCACAGGTGCAGGGTGAAATTAAATAACCCAGATTAAATCAGTGTAGACACAATGGGTGAAGCATGTAATGGGAACTAACAGTGGTGCATCACCCTTACTGTTGTCACCTCTTCACTGTGTGTACATGCATTGGCTCCAAAGAGAGCTGTGCTGCGGCAGCCGATTGGGAGACAGAGAGTGGCAGCGGGGTTGAGGAGGTGCAGGGGGAGTTGCAGACCACAGAGTGTAAAAGTCATCAGAGCAACCTAAAAAAACTGGTCTGAGTTATGCTCGTGATGTCCACTGGTCTCTGTATGTCATAATGTTTTTGTATTTTGGTCTGACTCATTGTTCGTCATGTGAAAAATGTATTTCCAAACTGTAAGTTTTGTGTTTTGCTTTCCAGCTCTTTAAACCGACAATCAAAAAAAAAAAAAAAAAATCAGCTTTCGCAGCAGGTAATAACATGTATTTGAGATGTCCTCTTTAACAATGTAAACACATTTACGTTGGCACATAACATTAAACATTACCCCTGAACTTAATACTGATCCACCTAAAAACATCAAGATTTGCTTGTGAAAGTGGTGGGGGGAAAAATACGTATATTCAAAACAGTCTACTTACATCCTGGAATAGCCGCCTGTCTTGTGCCAAACGTTTGGACGCAAGAGTTTTGGTGACGTGATAAAAGGTTAGCATTGCTCTGTGCTGCTGCAGGCCATCCTGACCCTTAACAGACTCCAACAGAATAGGGATGAGCTCCGGCCACTGCCTGGGGCAGTCCAGACGGGCCACCTTGGCGATCAGTACAGCAATTTGAGTCGCTATCTGTTAGG